AACCCCCCCAAATCCCCCCCAAAACCCCCCCCAAGACCTCACCTTACTGAACCCATCCTTGCTGAGCGTGTCCACGTTCCAGGGCATGTTCTTCTCCTTCTTCTTCAGCTCTTCCAACTTCTTCTCCCAGTTCTTCTCCTCCTTCTTCAACTGTTGAGCTTCAACTTGAAGCTTCTCCAACTCTCCTGTCCCAGTTCCTTCTTCCACCACTTCCAGGTCCTTCATCTTCTTCTGGAGCTCTCCCAGTTTCCTCTTACATTCTCTACAACCTTTGTCCAGCTCCTCCTTCTCCTTCTGGAATTGTTCCATCCTCTCCACACGAGCCTTGGGAGCAACCAGTTTGGGGTCAGTTCTCATTCCCAGTTTGCCCATCATAGGTGGGACCTCAAAAGACCCATCTAGACCAACCCCCCCAATTGATCAGACCAGGAGAACATCCCACAGGAACATCTGGAGAACATCCCAGGAGAACATTTTCTGGAGAACATCCCACAGGGACATCTCCAGGAGAACATCCCACAGGGACATCTCCAGGAGAACAGCCCACAGGAACATCCCAGATGAACATCTGGAGAACATCCCACAGGAACATCTCATGGAGAACATCCCAGATGAACATCTCCTGGAGAACATCCCACAGGAACATCTCATGGAGAACATCCCACAGGAACATCTCATGGAGAACATCCCACAGGAACATCCCACAGGAACATCTCCAGGAGAACATCCCACAGGAACATCCCACAGGAACATCTCCAGGAGGGCTGGGAATGTCTCCAGAGAAGGAGATTCCACCACCTCCCCCAGGGTGAAGCTTCTCCTGATGTTCACATGGAACCTCCTACCTCCCAGTTTGCCCATTGTCCTGCCACTGGGCACCACTGGGAAGACCCTGGTTCTGACCTCCTGGCACCTCCAACACATTGATGAAGGTTAATGAGGCTGCTCCTCAACCTTCCCCTCACCAGGAAGATCTTCCATCCCAACATCTTGGGGTCTCCAGACCCTTCCCAGTTCCTTCTCCACCTGGAGACCCCAAAACTGGACCCAACCCCCCAGATGTGACCCCACCAGGACAAAAGGAACCCCCAAAACCTCCTCCTTTCTACCCATTGATGAGGCTCCTCCTCAACCTTCTTCTCACCAGGAAGATCTTCCCACTCAACATCTTTGGGGCTCCA